CATAGAAAGGAGACATGCAAAATGTGCAGTGTTGGGGTGCCTCAAGGACCAGGGTTGGGAACCACTGTTAATCTAAGCATCTAAAAATTATCCTCCGCATTCACAGATGTTTATTTAATCTCAGCAAATCAGTTGCTCTGACTCTGATTTTAGTTTATTTTCATTGAACATTCAGTGGCTTAATTAGAATTGTAGTTTGCATGTGTTTTTAAACAACAAATAGAAACAGAAAGTATAAATAATAAACTATAAATAATACATTATTTTGTCTCTCATGCTTTACATGTTTTTTTTTAAACGGATTTAATATCTTTATTATATATTTGTATTATATCGAGTTTATGAATGTGTAATATTATATGCCCTATGTGCATATTTCTGTAATATATTTCTATAATATATATATGTGGATTACTTGTGGATTATTGTGATGTTTTTATCAGCTCTCGTTCTGACGGCACCCATTCACTGCAGAGCATCCATCGCTGAGCAGCCTATCTAAGTCAATGGCTTCATATTTCTCTGTTGTATTTATTTGATTGTTTTATGCACTATATGACATTGTGAGCGTGTTTCTCTCAGCACTCATGTTCTGACGGAGGACGTACTTTTCCGCGAGGTGACGCCGGATAACCGGCTCCTGTCCCGGCGGCTCCTGACGAAGACCAATCGTCTCCCTCGCTGGGCGGAGCGCGTCTTCCCCGGAAATCTGTCGCGTTCGGTGTACATCATCGAGGATTCAGTCGTCGACCTCGGAAACAGAAGCCTCACGTCGCTGGCCTGGAACGTAAATCACGCTAAATTCATGGTAAACGACAACAACACACATATGAACATTTACACTTTATTTAGAAACATGCTTTGAAGAGAACCAAGTCTGAAGTAGATACTGTTATTTTCATATGATTGATATACTGTCATAGTTTTTGTTAATATTTTGAATTAGATTTTATTTTTTTAGACTTTTATTTTTCATTTTAATTATTTTAAAATGTAAATAAAATCTAAAATTTAATTAGATTTGATTTTCTGTTTTAATTTTAATTTTAGAGTTTTAGTTATTTTGTTGTATGTTTTTGTGATTTTTATTATTTTTTAAATGTTTATGTAGTTTTTATTATTTCTTTTTAATTAGTTTTAGTTATTTTAGCACTTCAAGTTAAACTAAATAACAATTTGAAATGTTGCTTTGGCAACTAGCTGAACAAAAATTATTGTAGTTTCTTAAAAATATGTTATTTTAATTTTTTAATGATATTTTATTTCAGTTAACATTTATTCAATTATCTTAAATGGTTTTTATGGTTTTACAAACCAACAAACATTAGTGTGATTTATGCTTGTGTTTGTAACAGTATTTAATGCCTAAAACAGATTTACAGAAAGACATTTTAGTTTTATTAATTACAAAATGACGTTGATAAAGCGCTAAAGTCAGTCATTGATCAGTTTGCTAACATCAGGACTTCAACTGGAAGATCATTTTCATATTTCAACTTGATCTTTATCTGTTTCTATTGATATCATCAAACTGATGTGTATCATTTGATGTTTTTAGAGTAACACAAACCAACAATCACCACAAAACATCCATGTCTGTGCTTCTGTTTCCCTCCTAAATGATGTCACTTCCTGCAGGATGATGTCACTAAAGAACTTACAGAAGACAATTTAAACATGTTTTGGTTGAAAGATTTTGATTGGAGAAAAGAAACATGAATATTTCTGTAAAAATGGACAGTTTGTCATTGTAGAAATGAATACAGAGGCGTACAGAAATAAACATCCATTCAGTTTAAACCAAAGGCTAAAAATGCACCTCTACATTCACTTCACTGTGATGAAAGCAAACAATATCGAATAAGATCTCCAGAAGCTGTGAGTGTAATATTTTAAGCGGTTTGGGTGTGTTTATCGTCGTTCTTTGATCATATCTGATGGTGGTTTGTGAGATTGAGGGGATCTGAAGGTTTGTGTCTCTTTATTTCCCCCAAAACTGTTAAACACAAACTGCTCAGCTCAATTATGCAAGCAGGCTTATTATAGTTAACTAACACTACAACTAAAACCATACATAAACAAAAAATTAAAAGAGCTTAACTGAAATAAAATCAGTTTAAATTTAGATTTTTCATTTAGTTTAACTTGATGCACTAAAATAACTAAAATAAAAAATAAAAAAAACTATAAAATTATTAACATTTTAAAAATAAAAACGACAATCAAATTGTCAAAAATGACAATAATATTTATTAATATATTTGCATTTCTCATTCTCATAACTAAAAAAAAATCTTTATAGACATTAGACAAACCTAATAAAAGTGACAAAAACACATAATAAAATACCAAAAACGAACTAAATATTTTATTTCAGCTAGTTGCCAAGGCAACATGTTCATTTAGTTTAACTTGATGTTCTAAAATAATTAAAACTGAAATAAAAATAACTATACAGACAACAAAAACTATTAAAAATGGGAAAGACACACAACAAAATGATTAAAACTAATTGCAATTTTATTTCAGCTAGATTCCAAGGCAACATTTCTTATTTTCTTTTAGTTTATGTTTATATTGATGTACTAAAATAACTAAAACTGACATAAACATGAACAAAAACAAACAAAAAAACCCAAATATAAATATTTTATTTCAGCTAGTTGCCAAGTCACAATTTTTCTTTCATTTAGCTTAACTTTGTACTAAAATAATAAAAATTAAAACTGAAAAAAAAAAACATTTAAAAACTAAAACAAATAAAAATGACAAAAACACTTAATAAAATGACTAAAACTAAATATTTAATTTCAGCTGGTTGCCAAAGCAACGTTTCTCATTTTCATTTAGTTTAACTTAATGTACTAAAAAACTGAAATAAAAGATTATAAAAAGCTATGTATAAACATTTAATAATTACTAAAACTAACCAAAGTTAAAATGAAAACGTAAAATACATACAGTTGTGGACATAAGTTTACACACCCCTTGCAGAATATGCAAAATGTTCATAATTTTAACACAATAAGAGGGATCATGAAAATTGCGTGTTATTTTTTTATTTAGTACTGTCTTAAATAAGCTATTTCACATAACAGATGTTTACATATACTCCACAAGACAAAATAATAACTGAATTTATAAAAATGACCCTGTGTGTCAATTTTTCTTATTTTCATTAAAGATCATATTTTTTCATTTAGTACTGCACTTCAGAAGCGACATAAATACATACGTTTCCCAGAAGACAAAATAAGGACAATTTACCCTGATCTTCCAAATCAAAAAGTTTACACCCCCCAGCTCTTAATGCATCGTGTTTTCTTCTCGAGCGTCAGTAAATGTTTTCACCTTTTGTAATTGTTATGTATGAGTCCTTCAGTTGTCCTCAGAGTGAAAAGATGGATCTATAAATCATACAGTCACTGCTGG